GGCAATATGCCGACTCTGTAAACCGCTTAGAGAGGGCTGAAAGCCCTATGAAGCGGTATATAAGTCTAACTGCTATTGCTAAATCAATCTGATTTTGAGAAATAGACAGCTTCTGTTATGAGGATTCTGTTTGGATTTAAGAAATAAGATCCCTTAAAAAGTGGGTCCATCTTCTATGAGGTTTTCCTTTTTATATGTGATGCTTATAATGGTGACTGCTATCATGTCTTACCCTTAATAGAAAATTCCATACAAGAGCTTCTTGGGACCAGATCCAAATATCAGTCCTAACCATCATTCTTTCCCCAAGCCTAGCTAGCCAGAAAGGGTTTCTAGGTGCATAGTCAGCTCCTGTTTATGTGCAGCATTTGGCCATCAGGTGGTATACTGCACCTGCTATGGAGGATCCACACAAGAACCTTGGCTAATAACCCTCTCCTGCATTTAGGCTTTCCCTAAACAACTGCCCATCATAACAGCATGTGGCAAATAATGTTCTAGCTCAAACAACATGAAATAATAATACAGAATATTAGCATGCTGTGCCTATTACATCTTTCATCCAAGAGGGTCTTGGAAAGGGAAGAAGGACTTTTAAAACTTCATTTTTGGGGGACTGAGATTCCAAGAGCTGAAGAGCAAAGGGTGGCATAGAGAAAAGATAAGCTGAGACTGATCATTTTTTCATCATCATCATCATCATCACCATCCTCTGCCTTTGGAAAAATCAAGAAGTGCAAAGCCACACTTCTCTGCTAACAGGAGGTGGGAGGTTGCAAAATCAATTCAGCATCCCAATTAGCCCAGAAGAGAGATATATTGGGGGGGGGGATTGCCATCTTCCATCAGCCCAGCCAACATCTAAGCACCATGTGAAACCAAATGATGACATTGTTAAGGTGCCATGAGCTGCCCCCATCAAAGGTTGGACACACACACACACTGACATAGGGAAAGCCTGAAATCCGTCAACCTGCACCACACCCCAAAATGCTGGATTGAATGAGCACCTATTGGAGGGAAAAGGTGAGAGGAGCCTTTGCTTCAAAGGGGAAGTTTGGACACCTCTTTGCTAAGATGAGAGCATCGGGAATCTGAGAAAGAAGACATTCCATCCCTCCCCATCCCATCTCAGCATCATGGACATTCCTTCACTGTCCCATGCCTTGGTATTTCCACTGAGGCTACTTCAGAAATGGCCACCTCCCTATTGGCTCGTCGACAGCTGTATATTTCTGCCTGTCTCCTGTTCTTCACAAAAAGGACATCCTCAAATCTAAAACAAAAACACACAAAAAACCCGTGTATGGGATGGAAGTCAGGTTGCCTTACCTCCAACGCAAAGCAAAGACATGGCATAGGCGCTCTCCCTCTCCCTCTCCCTCTCTCTCTCTTTCAAGGCGGCTGTTCTAAAGGAGATTCGGCTTTTACAGCCCGGGGAGCTGCTTGGAAAAGGAAGGGTGTGTTGCGTTGTGGCGAAATGGCATCCTTCTCCGAAGGGCCGCCGACTGCTGCTCCTCCTTCTCGTGCCTTAGTGAGAGCCAGCCATTTTGCTTCAGCACCACGGCCCGTGGATAGCTCCCGACGTCAGGATGATGAAAAAAAACCCCCACAGAGCGTGGGGCGGGGGAGAGAGAGGGGGGGGGGAAGGCGGGGGCTGCCGGATCGGCTGAGCGTTTGCATCTTCAAGACGCAAACTCTCTCTGTCGACGGTTGGAGGGGCAACCTCCAAAGCCTCAGTTCTCTTAAGGGAGCTTTCCAAAACGATCCTCTTTTGCATTTCAATCCGGATGGAGGATTTTTTTCCCCCAGTTTTCCGATCCCAGAGTGGAATTGATAAGGTTGGACTCCACTGCCACTGTTCCCGGTTTTTAAATGTTGTTCCTGCCACTGGCGTTTCGTTCTGCCTTCCCTTTTCCTTCGGTGAGAATGATGCATGCACAGGAAGGGATGAAATGCTGGATCAAGAGGAGGGAGAAGGAGATTACTTCATAATGACAAATTGGTTTGATGCTTCCCCCTCCCCCCCCCTTGTACAATATTTCATGAATGACCTGGAGACACACACAAAAAAAGCAATCGATCGATCCACCTCTCCCAGTCACATTGTGGTGGGTTGTTTTTTTTTTTTGTAGTGTTTAATTCATGTGCACAAACACTTAGGTGGGGGAAGAGAGAAGCCAAAAACCTAAAAGTTAGAGGACTTGCTACTTGCATTAAATCAAGAAAGTTTATCAATAAACTCATAGGATGCAGGAGAACATGGCAAAATCTCTCAGCATTGTTGCTGTTGTTAGTTGCGAAGTCGTGTCCAACCCATCGTGACTCCATGGACAACATTCCTCCAGGCCTTCCTGTCCTTTACCATCCCCTGGAGTTCATTTAAGCTCAGGCCTACTGCTTCGGTGACTCCATCCAGCCTCCTCATTCTCTGTCATCCCATTCTTCTTTTGCCCTCAATCGTTCCCAGCATGAGACTCTTCTCCAGTGAGTCCTTCCTTCTCATCAGGTGGCCAAAGAATTTGAGTTTCCTCTTCAGGATCTGGCCTTCTATAGAGCCGTCAGGGTTGATCTCCTCTAGGACTGACCGATTTTGATCGCAGGCGTCTTCTCCAGCACAATAGTTCAAAGGCCTCAATTCTTTGGCGCTCAACCTTTCTTAGGGTCCAACTTTCACAGCCATCCATTGCAACTGGGAAAACCACAGTCTTGACTATACGCACTTTTGTTGACAAGGTGATGTCTCTTCTTTTTAGTATGCTGTCTGGATTTTCCATAGCTTTCCTCCCCAGGAGCAAGCGTCTTTTAATTCCTTGGCTGCCGTCCCCATCTGCGGTGATTTTGNGAATGGTATGATTGTTGTGTTTTTTAGCTGTGTATGGTCTTTATGTTCTGTAATTTTGTTTGGTTTTTCCCTTCCCTTGAATTGTGAGCTGCCCTGAGTCCCTTCAGGGAAAAGGGCGGCATACAAATAAAGTAAATTCAAATTCAAATGTGATTTTCCTCTGAACTCCATATCTGCAAACAAGAGTTCAACGAGAAACAGGTTCCAAATTCTCCTCTGGCCTTTGACCTGGGCAAAGTAACATTATTGGGGTATAGAAGCCCCTGTTCTCTGCCACCTCCTGCTTAATTACACATCCAGTGGGCAAGCCAAGAAAAGGGAGATGAGGTTGCTACTAAACTTGAAAGCATGGCACATTAAGGTGCTGCCACCTGATTCTATTAGGGAAAGGCAAGAAGAAGTGGGACTCAGATCTGCTTTATTAAAGCAGCAAGCAGAGACCCTCCCTGGGGAAGGAGAAGCATGGTAATGCTCAGGAATAATTATGTTGCAAAATAAGTCGCTCTATTGCTGGGGATCTTTTAGCCATTATCTAGTGTGGGAATGAAAAACTGACGCATCAGGGAAAAGTGCTGGTTACAGCAATATCACATTCAGCGGAGAGGTTAGCAACGGAGCAGGAGCAGGGTTGGAAAAAGCTTCCCAACTGTCATTGCCTCAGCAGAAATTTGGGGAGAAATCCAAGTGATTTTCTTTTTAAGCAATTGTTTCTCATTCTTCTCCCAACTCCCAGGCTATTGCCAGAGCATTCTTCCAGCTGGAGAAGCTTTTTGCTGATTCCAAACACGTCTTTCCTCATTCATTCACAGCACAAGGCACAGAGAAGTAGGTACAGAGTTCCTGTTAACAAGGATGGAGATTGCTTCAATCTTCTGCCTTCCTGCACAATGTGGGATAAATGAATGTATGCTGCACAGAAGGCTGCCTGTGCAACCCTGCTTGGTTAATGAGAGTTGACGACTGCTCAAAAATCTTCGGGCGTGGGCAGCAGTTCCAAACACAGCCATGACTCTCTTACCTGTCATTTACAAGGCCAGCAACACAGCCTTAGTAAGCAAGAAAAAGAAGCCACTCATTGAGTTACTTGCACACTCTACAAAACCAAGTGAAACGGACCTAAATCTTTCCTCTGCTTGAAACTGGGTGCTTGATTTACAATCTAGCATCTCATTTTTATGATTATTCCATCTTGATAGAAGGCAATGGGTCTGGTATCTTTTGAATTTCACTTCCTCCTTTACCGTTTGCCTATAATTTATTTCCAAGTATCTGCTGCAAAGAATAAGTAATCTGACGTTTTTAGATATTTTGGCCCCACTGGCTAGGCTGCAGTGGTGGGTTTCAAAAATTGTTCGAACCTATTCTGTGGGTGTGGCCTCCTTTGTGGGAGTGGCTTGCCGCCCATG